AAGTTGAGCATGTACTTGGAGCAAGCGGAAAGGGGGGACTTGTTTTGGAGCGACATACTTAGAATCACAATCATGGTTCCAGATCTCTTGACTTTGAATCCGTCTCTCATGGACATGAGTGCTAATGAGATTTATGTACAGCAATTTAAGATTACAAGGAATATTATATTAAAGGTTATAAGCTGTATGTGGATGCCAGATAGAGAAACTACAGATGTTATATTCCATTTCAAATTTAACCCAATTGCAAGCTTGACCAACAATGGAAAAGAACATGGGACAATGATGCACGTAAAACCATGTCTCCATTCCATCCTCCTCTAGAATGCAAGAGGTGCAATGAAAGCAACCTTTTGGGAGATTATGCAAATACTACACCGAAAGAGAATGCTTGCTTTGCTGATTATATTTAATACGAGGGTTGCAGAGTAGCGAATCATTCTAGTCAAGAATGATTTACTACAATTAGATGGGGAATTTTCTACACCAGCTTCTAACAGCATAGGGGGAGTGATGTGTTTGTGGTATAATAACAGGCTTAATGTCGCATGTTAGTGGGGGAACAGAAGAAATTGCATACATCTCTATATCAGTGGCACTTAGAAGGTATAGGGATGTTACCATTCTCCACTAATGTATGAAGTAATGGAGGTTCGTAAGGTAAAAGTGGGCCTTGTAATAGGGATGCAAAAGTGAAAAGTGGGCCCTTTTAGCCCTTTAAAAGGGCCCCAGATTGTGGATTCATGTTTTGGATGGTAGGATTGTATTTTGTGTCTAACCTGTAAGTGGAAATGCAGTTAATATCTAAGAAACAACATGTAATACTAAGACCTTAATTATATAATGTAATGTGCCACAACCATAAAGGTTTACAAAATCAGGAGTTGAGATTAAAAAGTGTTTTCCATTAGGGAAAAAATAAATTTTTAAATTTCAATGAATTTAATTGGCATGTGACTAAATTAATCAAAAATTATTTAGATAGAAAAAATTTCACATGAAATATTTACTATTTAAATATTCACCTTAAATATGTGTAATTACAAATTACTACTTTCCATTGTTACTAACCATATTGCTAATTACTAGTTATTAAACATGCAATAGTACTAAGACCTTCATTATACGATATAATGTGCCCCAACCATAAAGGTTTACAAAATCAAGAGTTGAGATTAAAAAGTGTTTTTTGTTAAGGGAAAAAAAATTTAATTTCAATGAATTCAATTGGTATGTAACTAAATTAATTGAAAATTATTCCAATAGAAAAAATTTCACATGAGATTTTTACTATTTAAATATTCACCCTAAAGATTTGTAATTACAGATTACTACTTTCCACTATTACTAACCATATTGCTAATTACTAGTTATTAAATTGTTTGAAAATGTAATGGGGTTCCAAAGAAAATGTCATAATAAAACATTGCTAATATAACTTAAGAAAATTACTAAAACATTTCAAGCTTTGATTGAAATCCCCAAAAAGGCCATATGAGACGTTGAAAATTCAAAGCACAACTATTAGCTCTAGCATAACTACAAAAGCAGCACCAATCCACCATTGGGGTGTAGGTGATTATTACCAATAGTATGACATCAAAAGTTATATCAACTATTTGCACTTGTCGACATTCACAAGTGTAGTCAATTTTGTATGATGTAAAATCTTTACAACCATTTTATGATTTCAAATCCCAACTTTTTGATATCCCAATTTTAACTTAGTTCAGGGTGCTTAAGAGGACTTAGGAAATGGAAAATGATTTTATATAAGGGTCAATCCAGAAAGAAACGTAAATCGGAGTTATCAATTTCTACTGGCATTGACATTCATATTATGATATCCTTAAATGCTTTTAATAAAATAAATAAGTTAAGTGCTGCAAGTTGAAATGGGAATGAGCTTAAAAGAAGAGTGTGGTATATGAAATTGACTATTACAATTAAAGTATTGTGGATCATGCTATAGAATTATAGTTAGGACAAAGTAAAAAGGGAGATTGAGTGGTAGGTTTTCTGTGAGGTCAAGTCCTGATACCATATTTTTGCCACTGATTTATGTCCACCAAATGGCACAAATTGAATACTATCAGCCACATATAAAGAAAAACTGAAACATTAACTACATAGTGAAGTTGGGGAAATTTGTCCATAATTTGCATTCTATTTGGTCATTAAACAAATAGAATTA